CATTCCCATGCACCACTGTCACTACAAACTACATGAGTATCATTTAAAGTAGAACTCTGCCTAAGAAAAAAAAGCTAAATAGTTACATATTAATTTATTTGGAAAGAGTGTACATATACTGACATATACTTCACAGGAAGAGTGGTTTTTACTAAGTCTAGAAATATATCACTGATCACACAAAATAAAACATACTTTTGCAATGTCCTCAAATAGGTCTCTAAAATATGAAGCTCTCGCTTTACTACACCCTTTATTTCCATGATGAGCACATTCTCTCCAGAACTGAAATTCATCCGTTGGTGTAAGTATAGCTGCAAATAAAAAAGAAAATATTTATATATTAAATAAATGAATGTTTATAAAATATGTTCAGTCAGAACATACTTTCTAAAGCAAATTTTTACAAATGCTTAAGTAAACATCCTTTAAATTCTGATCCTGACTAGATGCAGTACAAAAGTCAACTCTGCTCTTCTGGCATGACCATAAGTAATTCCAGTCTATTAACAACAACCAGTCTTATTTCACACTGTGTAATCACTGGGAAACTTAAACTCTCAATTTGTAAATAGATTATTTACTCTGAATTCAAAAATTAACTGTAAAAGACATAATTGCAAAACAAACCTCGCACATCATCTTCAGTGAATTTTGTTCCTGTGTAACTGGGATCTGATCTTCTGAGAGTAGTACTCAAGCCAGCTTCAAGCTCACTTAAAAGTTTCTGGAGTTTGGGATCAAATGCTTTACTCCACTTCTCATCCTGTAATGAAAATTTTGAAAATTATGACTCACATGATAGAGCAATTAGTATTTTCTCCCCATTCATCTTTAAAAAAATACAAAATTCAGATTAAGTACCAACCACATGGTGGGACAATGTACCAATTTTTTTTCCCTAAAGTCAAGGAAGAGCACCTCATTCTTTTGAATTAACAATTCAGAATAATACTATAAAAAACATTTTTATCGCAAAATCAAAACTCAGTTTCCAGGTTTATAAAGGCACCCTGAAACCAGTGTGTGAGCTGGTTTTCCACATTAACCACCAATTGCCAGTGTATTCCACATTTTCAGTCAGGCATATGTATGACCAAAACCTAAGCTCCTATTCTTACTGATAGGAGCTTAAGTATTTTCTTTAACTTAGAAGTTATAACTATCGCCCATTGCTTAATATTCTCAAACATTTTTGTTTCATAGCATAAAATATTTAGCTCAGAATTAGGCAACATCCTATTGAATTCCAATGTCTTAATATAAATCTACAGAACATTAAACTAGTATATTGCTCACCTTTAGTAATACTGGTGCAAAAACTTGTCGTACAGCTTGATAAAGGGTGTTGATTGGTGAATCTAGCATAGATGACACAAGAATATTACTGTGAAGATTATCTTCAGTAATTACATCAGGTCTCAGCTTAAAGAACACCAACACATTATTCTTTGAATCAGTAGCTTCAATCTGTAATAATCAAGAAAAGAGGATGTGTTTAGAAAGCTGTTACTGACTCAGAACAAAAATGTAAAATACCATATTACTCCCTCTGACCTCTGATAAAATTCTGGTAGTATTTGATTTGCACAGAATATTAATTTTTTTATTATATTCATTTCTTAGTACATAGGAACCTGACTTCCAACATCAAATATATGAAGCCTTCTACAGCATATAATGTCTGTAAATATCATCATTTCTTACTATATTTTGAAAACTCCACTTACCACTTTCTCTGGACAAAACAGAAACTCTGTCTTGTGCCTAGAGAAACTAAGAATGAAGCCTATTTTTTAAATTGCATTTTTATGCTACAAACCTTTGGGAATATTTTACTATATATTCTAAATATTCTGTATGGTTTTCCTGAGTTTGTAAATACATTATTAGTAGATTACTCAAGAACAGAGATGGGCATGCTCCTTCATCAGTAAAATCGTAAATTACAGCATGACTAATGTTCCATCCACAGCCCAACTTATAGGTAAAGTTTCAAAAATTGCCATAAAGTAATTACTGAAATTATTTGTGGCTGAGAAGGATTCATAGAACATGAAAATGTATTAAACATCTGATAAAGTAATAGAAAAAAGATATGCTAAGTGAAATCCCAGATTCTGTGCAATTGCAAACATCTGTGTACTATTTTTCTGTTAAAAGAAAGAAAGCGTAGTAAGAATAGCTTTCAGCTTTATTGGACAGTATCAGTTTTATTTTCTTATCAAGTCTTTAGCCTACAGAACTCCTACAGAAATAGCTTCACTGAGACAAGTACAGTGTATAGCACCAATATACATCTATCTTCCACAGCTGCTGAAAGCTGCTTCATATTTTAGGCAGTGGTTCAGCAGCACTCCCAAAAACTGGTACACATATGTGTTCATTCTTGCCTGAATACAGCAGGCACTAGACTTCACAGAGGATTAACCAAGGAGTTATGCAAGCTATGGGTCCACACTTGACATGTTGAGGACTCTTCACATGCTTCTTCCATGTGTGAAGCCACCGACATAACAGACGCCAAGTCCCTGGTCTCACTGCAGAATGACAGGTCCCATTTTCAAGACCCACACCTTGCCTGTACTCTGTGTGGCTGGCACCACACATGCCCTCCCTACGTGGTGACACTGAGTGCACATCACATCCCATGGTAGCAACCTGAAAAGTCGCTTGATGAACACAAGACACAAGGCAGGACATTTCACACAATGGACCTTGGATTTCCTCACAGCTGGACACATCCATTTGAAAAATGCATGCTTGGATTTGTTAAATATCAGCCAATGTGCTGCACACTGGGTCACTTCCCCGCATGGAACAGACACTGCCTATGCAATCCTTTCGGACACCTGCATGCAGCCATGTCCAGGAAGAAATCAAACATCCGACTCTATGCCCCAGATCACACTGTCTCACATAGAGACAATACACATTACATCAAAACTGCACCAACATGGGTACAATCCGCTAACAAAACATATTGTCAGCTGACCATAGGGTCTTTGTGGACTCCAGGAACAGTGCTCTTGTTTCAGCAAGGATAGAGTTAATTTTCTTACAGTGCTGTATTTTGGGTTTAGTATGAGAATAAGGTTAATATCACACTGATATATTGCTTGCTGCTGATCAGTGATTATCTGAAACCAAGGACTTTTTAGTGCTTCATGCTCTGCCAGTGAGGAGGGCACAAGGAAGCTGTGAGACAGCATGGCCAGGCCAGCTGATCCAAACTGGCCAGAGGGATATTCCATAGCACAGAGCATCCTGCTCAGTGCATGAACCGGGGGGAGGTTGGTCAGGAGGCATCGATCGCTCCTGGGGGACCGGCTGGGCATCAGTCAGTGGGTGCTGAATAACTGCACTGTGTATCTCTTGTCTCTCTTGGGATTTAGTCCCCTCTTTCGACCCTTTTAATTACAGTTATAAACATTATTACTAGTGTGTTAGTAGTGAGTTATTATATTTTATTTCGTTTCAGTTATTAAACTGTTCTTATCTCAACCCATGGCGTTCTTTTCTTTCCGATTCTTCTCCCCGCGGCGGGTTTGGGGGACAGTCCTTATCTCCTGTCTGGGGTTAAACCACAGCAGCCGCCAGTAGCTTGCAGCAGACACAGATCTGCACAGATATTCGCAGGAGGGAGATGTCTCCCAAATCCGACACCAGTTTTTACGGCCGCCAAGCCTGGGCTGGCTCCGCATCCCCGCTCGCACGCCGGGACGCGGCGGACACGCGGGACCCGCAGGCGCCGGACACTACGGTACCTTGTTGGAGGCGCTGAGCTGCGCGCCCGAGTGCTGCACCACGAGCAGGAACTCGTTGCCGTCGTCGAGGAAGCGGCTCAGCTCCGGACGGGAATGCAGCCCCGCGGCCAGGGCAGCGGCACCGCCCGCCGGGTCCAGCCCGAAGTAGTTGGCAGCCGTGGCTGAAATAAAGCGCTTCCTCCGGTCTCCCTCCCCGGCCATGGTGGCGGCACGCACCCCGCCAGGCAGGATCAAGGCGGGGGTGGATCCAGAGCGCCACGGGAGCACATACAGGCGCTGGCGGGAGAAGACCCAAAAGGCTCACGGCGGGAAGGACGGCGGCTCGCTCCGGGGCCCAGGGGGAGAGGCCCGGAGCCGTCCCGGCGTCGCCGGGACCCGTAACTATAGTGACCGGCGATGGCGGCCCTGGCGCGCAGGCGGCTTAGCTCAGGGCGGCGCCGGGCAAGGAGGTGGCGGTCGACGCGCTCGGAAATCAGCGGAACGGGGCGGGACGGGCCGGCCCGGCGGGCGGGGCGGGGAAGGTGCCGCGCTGCTCCTTGCACGGCAGCAGCGCCCGGGAGTCACCCGGGGCTCGGCCGGCCCGATCCGCTTCCAGGCTTCCCCTGGGTTCACAGAAGTATCTCTCCTGACATCAACTCCGTCACGGCGTCACGGCCGCTGCAGTACTTGCGGCGTTTCCCTCGCCCCCGCCCCACTCCGCTAGGGAGCCCGAGGTGCCCGGTACAGCGAGGCCGAGGAGGACTGCGGTCCCGGGCCCGGAGACGCTGGGCGAGTGCTCAGACCGCCCACCAAGACCACAGGCTTGCCCGTGGTTGCCCGTGGTTTTGCGGGTCAGTTCGGGCGTAGCGATCCGCGCCCCGCTCAGCGCTCCCGGCCGCTTCCCTAGAGGGTCTCTAAAGGGACGGAGCGCCTCCCGTCCCGCCCAGCAGCTGCCCTTGACCTCGGCCACGGCTCGCGCCTCTCGGCAGGCGGCTGTCGCAGCCCCGAGCCCGCGTCCAGCGCTGACAGGACAGCCAGCTCCCCCCGGTGCGGGCAGTGCCCGCGCGGGTTCGAAAGCACTGGAAGGAGTGAGGCTGCTCCGTTTGTCCCGCTGCGAACGCCGAGCTGTAACCGGCACGCCGGCTCCCGCTCCGGCCGGGAAACACGCGCGGCAGCCCCGCCCTCCCGGGGGCGGCTCCCGGCGCGGCCCCGCCCCGGCAGCGCTACCACTTCCTGCCGGCGCCGTCTGTGTCCGGGTCGTTCTCGCCGTTCCCTCCGCAGCCGATACCGTCTGCGCTCGCTCCCGCCCCCGGCGTGATACCCGCTTCTGTGAACGGGGAGGCGGCGGCGTCTGCCCGCGACGAGCGGGGAGCGGCAGCGCCCGGTGGGGCTGGGGACAAGCGGCGGGAACGGGGTCTCCTCTCGTTTCCTCACCGCCGGTCTCGGGAGGCGGCGGCGGCCAGGGGAAGGGAGCCCGGGGGGGCCTCGGCTGCGGGCCCCGGCAGCGGGGCGGCCGCGCCCCGAGGCAGGACGATGCCGGTGAAGAAGAAGAGGAAGTCCTCGGGGGCGGCGGCGGCGGCGGACGACACCGGCCTCAAGAAATGTAAACTCGGCAGGTACCGTCTCGCGGGGCGGCGGCCGGTGCCGGCGGTCACGTCCCGGGCCGCTCCTCCGCGCGCCCCGGGCTGCGGCGGCCGTGGGGCTGCCCGGGACGGCGGGCGGGCCGTGTGCGGCCCGGCGGGCCCGGCAGGGCCGCGGCCGTGCCGTGGGGCAGGTGCGGGGCTCGCCGTGCCGGCGGCGGCCTGCGGCGTGGTCACGCCTCGGCGAGAAACGCCACGGAACGGCTCCCGTTCCCGGCTGGCTTTGCCTTGGGCTGTACCGCAGGGGCCAGTACTGGCATTTGTCCTCATATTCCTTCTATTTCCCTAGGGTAGGCGGCTCTCCTCGCTTTAAGGTTGCCAGTACTCTCAGTGTCTGTGCTAAATCGTCGTTTCCTCCTTTTTTTCATCTCTCCCCCCCCCGCCCCCTTTTTTCTTTTTTTTTTTTTTTTTTTTTTTTTCAGCGAATTGGAAGGATTGGTCAGCACACTGGAAAATAAGAGCAGGAAAGGTTTCTCTAATAAATTCAGGAGTCGGAAGCATCTTGTTCATTAACTACTATAAAAAGATCGCTTTTTGCCATGACGCCCAAAAGTTGCTGTTAGAATGATAAACCATTAGCGCGGTGCAGCAGGAGCTTACAGTGTGGCTTCCCAGAAGTAACTGCCTGCTTCATGTATCAGACCTTGTTAAGTATGCCAGTAAAGCAGTAGTTAGTACTAACGTCCTGAGGACATGAGGATACAAAGAACTTGCGAAATCAACACTACAGGAATGGCTATTGCAAAAATTTGTGGCAAATGGCCTTTCTCGTAGGCTGGCCAAACATGAGCTTAAAAGTACCCAGGCTCTTACTTTGTTATGACTCTTCATTTTGAGTAACCGTTCTAAAGCTCACTTTTTATGGTCATTGATGACCTTTTAGTTTCAGTCAGTTTATCCATTGCTTATAAATAAGTGTTCTTGTGCCAGCATTATTCTCTGTACCACTCTACTCCCTCATGGTTCTGCCTTAAAGTACGTTTAGAGGGAACACTTCTGTTTTCTCATACTTTATTTTGTATACTTCAAAAAACTAAGTTATTCTGGTTTGTAATATGAACATTGAGTTTCCTCATCTTAACACTTGCTTGCATGTGTTCACTATCAGTTTGTCTTTCTAGAACACTGTTAACTGAAATTTTATGATCTTAATTTCTTTTACTTAAAGTGTTTTCATAGCTTAGGAAAAAAAAAAACCCACAGGTTCTACAGGGAGCTAGTTGTTAGGCAAAAACTATGATGTAAGTGAGAATTCATGCTAGGTGATCAGAAAATGTTAGATACACAAACATTTTTGGCATTATGTTCTTACACAACAAATTATTGGTAATATTCTTTAGTAAAATCGGTGATTACAAATAGATTTATGTTAATCTGGATAAAGCCAATAAGCAATAGCATACCATATGACTCTGCCTCTTTCTGGTGACTTGTGTTCCTAATGTCAATTGGACGGATGGATGAATGTTTTTAGGACTCCTTTAATTCTAGCTTTCAACACAGAAGGCTGCTTCTTCAGAGTGTTGTGTTCTTTTCCACTGAAGCTAAAAACGATACATGGGGAGTTAAAGTTGTTCACCCCTCTCAGAGTTGAACTATTCTTCTCCTGCTTGACATTTTAATTTTAAAATTATAATGTGGGAGCTGCATAATTTTAAATCCTCTCATATGATTAGTTCTCACCTCATTGTTAGAAATAACTTAGCTCGTTCTAAAAGTCTATAATTTGCGTGTGAAAGGAGGATGCATTGAAAAGGTGCTGTGGCTCCCTACTGACTGAAGATGCCTTTGTGTAGTCCGGGTTGGTGTTTGTACTGGAAGAAATTCTGTGCATTCTTTTAATGAATGATGAATTAGAGAATTCACTTCCTAGGCAAACTAGGTTGTGTGTTACATAATGAAGACAATGATGGGGGAAAGCTGTGTGTGCTGAGCAGCTTCAGTCTTGTCACAGATTGCACACTATTATTCTGGTATATGTAGCAAATATCTGTACAATTTGTACGTTCTTAATTACATGTATAATGTAAACCAGTTGACCAAGTTTTTTCCCAAATTTGGATGGTTAACTATAAATAGCCTGACTTTTAAATATATCAAACTCTGCAGCTTCTGTTGACCTTAATGGGATCTGTGCATGTTCAGCACTCTTGAAGATCAAGCTGCTTATTAGAGACCCAACATTAAATGCCTGTATGTATAAATAAAAGTAGATAATAAGGCATTTGAATTACTGAGAAGGTGATATTTTGGCCATCTGTGTGGGTTTGTTTTTTTTTTTTGTTTAGTATCTACAAGATAACAGTACTTCTGCATTTCAGAAAAAGTAGTAGATGCAATAAATTGAGCTATGAGATTATTGTAATCTAAAGGTAATTTTATGTCCCAACAGGAGTTGAGGATGACAGTTGACTTCTTTGAAATTCAGCATAACTGTAGATGTGAAACAATTTAAATAGATTAATAATAAATGTTGTGTAATTTAATTTTTCCTGATTTTCACATGTCTCATTAAAATAACGCTCTTCATCCATGTGTTTCTATTTGCTACTGTAGATCACAAGCATCTGGTAAAGTAATAAGTGGAGAGGAGCATTTTTCAAGCAAAAAGTGCCTGGCTTGGTTTTATGAATATGCAGGTAATATGCAATGGATTCGTGTTTGAAACAATATCGTTTAGTTTTAAATAAAGCAATACATAAAATACTACTTGCATTTTACTTTTTGTATGCTGATGTAAACATAAAAATATGTGCATATTTGCTTCCTTATAATGCGCACTTGAATTAGGATAGCTTTTATTATTACCTTCTTGGTATTTGTTCTTTTTTGCTTACATTTGTTTACTCTGTTTTGCAACTTAAAAATGAAATAACAGATATTGAGCAGTACAATGTTGAGCCAGGATATAATAAGTGATTCTACTTCCTGCTTTGAAATTGTCAAGTAGCGGTCAGGACATTGAGAGATAATTCAGATTGATGCTTATGTATCTGCCTATATCTTCTTTTGTGATCGTATTGGAAGACTAATGATATAGGTCATGATTTAAGCTCCTTGGATATCTGTTTAAGAAAAAAAAAAATAGAGGTTTATATTGGTTTTCCATCTGAGAATTTGTACTAACATGTTTTATATTCTAAATACTAATGTTTTATTCCAGAAGTATTTGAAGTAGCCTCTTTGAAATAACTCAAAATTGCCATCAAATAGCTGCTTTCAGTGAATATGCAGTGTATTTTGCAGAATTTGCTACACTATTATTGCTATTCGTTTACCAGTTATATGGTTTCTGAACTCAGGATTTCTAAATTGTTGTTAATTTCTTGTCTAGTCACTACTTAAAGTCCATCATAGCTGGTTGATGATTAAAACTCATTAATTGCCAAGTCTTAGTATGGAGAGAGCTGCTGATTTATCTGCCAGCAACTGGTTTGAGTATATTTGTCAGGACTAATATTTTCCTTGAAGCCAATGAACTTGCACACCAATGAGCTACTTTTGTTTATAGTAATCTGCTCTCTATTAATTTTCTTGTGATAAATTTATTTGCACAGTCTTCAGAATTAATGTCTATAAATTTTGGCATTCAAGAATTGAATGTAGGCGGTTATACTTTTAGTTGACCAGCAATCAAAAAATTCCACATTTCCAGCGCAAGATAGAATTCCAGTTAAATTATATACAATGAGAGATAAAATGTTTCCATTAAAAGATGAAACTGTACATACACATATATGTATATGAGCTTTTCATATGATTTCTGGACCAGAAACACTTATTCAAGCTTTTACTTGTCATTACCACTGAACCCTTGTATGTGCTTCTCTTCCTAATTTGCTTTTGTTGTTTTTTTTTTAGCATTTTCTATCTTAACACTGTTTGGCCTTGCTTACCTAGGCAAAATGTCCTTTGCAGTATTTTTATTTTTCAGGAGGTGGAGGTTTGTCATCTTAAGTGTCAGTTGGATTTTATTTTTCTGTAAAAGTAGCCATTCTCAATAGGTTTTATTGACAACGTTCGTATCTCACAGTGAGTAGTTATTCAAAGCACATTATCCAGATTCTTAAAGAGCATTCTGCTTACACTGTCATCAGACAAAGTAGAGACAGGTTCATCAAGGACTCTACCTATTTTTTATAAGTAGCAAAATTTGCCAAAATGTTGTGAAGCAGTATGTTGTTTTGGAAGCTAAAAGCTTTGCCTTCTACATGAGTTCATACTTGATAAATGTTAATGTAATGATCCAAGACCTATTAAAATACTGTGTTGACAGGCCTTTTAATAATATTTGGCTGCCTAGTAGGAGTCATTTTTGGAGGCTTAGTCAAAATAACTGAAGCCAGAGAGAGATTAGAGGAACAAAACGCCCTAGACTCTGTCCGTATGCACTCTTTAAATGCACTGTTTTGATGCATTTTAGAGGCTTTCATGTTAAAATGGAGAAATGACAGCATAACACTTGTGGTCCTAATCAATTTCTTTTCATTGCAGCCCTGAACCTTTTTTTTTGCTTTGTATATGACTAACATGCTTGGCATTTCTTCAATTTATTGTTATTACTTTGTTTATTTTACTCAGCGTTGTAAAACTCATATTATTTGCAGATTCACCCTCCTCTGTTTTAATGTAAACCCATAATGTTAGCACAATCGAAAGAATAATATCTGTAATAGTAGCTCAGACAGAATTAGATTTTTTTGTTGTTGATGAAATAATTTTATGAAGAACATTATTCATAAAGTAACTTCAGCAGAGAGTAGTGGTACCTAAATTGTCTTAATTGTCTGCTACAGTTATTGGAGTTGAGCTGTGTCAATAGGAAGCTCCATGGATTCTTTTGAAAAGTCAGATACAAAATTGAAATGGCTCAACTGCTGTCATAGGAAGGCAGTGCACAGAACAAACATTCTGGTGTAGCACATACATGTCTACACAATTGCAATTGATAGAATAGGTCTAGCTTAAAATCTACTTAATAGTGTAATTCAATGTTTTAGAAATACTTTGGGTGCAATATAGCCTAATTATTGTGCATTACCCTTATGAGCAGTGTATGTTACTTGGATTTCACTCTGGTGTGGTTTTTGCTTTGAAGGTCCTGATGAAGTTGTAGGCCCTGAAGGAATGGAAAAGTTCTGTGAAGACATCGGTGTTGAACCTGAAAATGTAAGTTTCTTTCATAGTGCTAATAACACCTAAGAGGGTATTAGATAACGTTAAGTTGTGTAAAACTCTTAATTCCACTAAACAAAGAGTTTTTCATCTTCCTGCTTGTAGGAGCTGCTCTAAGATATTTCAGCTGAATACATCAATTATACTTGGCTGATATGTGAAGTTTCTTTGGGTGGGTTTATTACAGTAATACTTAATTTTCAAAAATTGAAATTGGGGAAAAAATTGCATGTAGCTGAATTTTTTAATGGTAACAAATATGAAGACCAGGCACATACCACAACTGCTAGAATGTTTGAATGCTTTGGAGTTTTATTCTTGGACATTAGTAAATCGGCATTTTCTTATGTACTTACTCATTTTCCTCCCCTTATTTTTATTTTGCTTCTTTTAGATTATTATGCTAGTTTTAGCCTGGAAACTAGAGGCTGAAAGCATGGGATTTTTTACCAAGGAAGAATGGTTAAAAGGAATGACCTCATTACAGTAAGAGTATTTTTACATATCTAATGGAATGTTCTGGTTTTATGATTGTACCTATAACTTAACTATTTTTGCTCTGTTTCATGTATGTTGGAAATAAGACACAAAAGAAAGCTGGGTTTTAGTTCTTGTTTTGGTCCACTACTGCAAAATTAATCTGAGTTCACTCAAAGGATTAAGTTATTGTCTAAACCTAGTTAAGTCAGGTTTTGGTGGCTTCCTTTTCTTGCAACAATATGCTAAAATACCGTTCTAGTTAGCAGATATAAATAAGTAGATGTGGAGATGCACATAAGTATATCTCAGCACTGATATTATGGAAAGATTTTACTGATTTTTGAGCTTTATAGATGAGGACTGCATGGATAATAATCTTGGCTGTTGGTGTTACTAGATGCACAAGGTTTAGGTTAAATAACACCTTTTCAATTTATAAATTAACTTCATTCTCTTTCTGTTTGCATTTGAATTTTTGGTGAGTTAGTGCTCTGCCTGAAGAGATTGTTTCTTACATTAATCAGCTTTTTGTGAGGCTTAATTTAGTTGTTACTTTTTGTTTGTTCTTTATGTGACTACTTGTGGTACCCTGGTGTTTTAAAGGTGTCTTGTTATGACACTGCATTTAATATTGCAGCTAGAGCACAGTGGGAAAGAGGGCGTGATTTTTCCCTTGCCCTGTCAGTTGTGGATTGGTGTGGGAAATTGTATCAGGCATATACCACCCTCTGGTTACTCAAAACTATGGCTCTGGACTGACTCTCAACTCTTAGTTGATTTGGGATCAGGTTTCTGATAGATGCCTTGATTATTTTGTGACTATCACCAGAAATTAAATTAGGTGCTGGAATGATTAGATTGCCTGTAATTCAGGAGTACAGATTAGATTCTGGGTGCATGATTTTTCAGATGCGGTGAATGGGTATTGGTCACTTATCTGAAGTATTTAATTGTTATGCTTCTATTTTAATAGAAGCTTTCAAGAGTTAGCCAATCTCACAGAATGCAAGCACAAAGATGTATGAAATCAAGCACCTGTTCAGAGCTGATGCTTCAGACTTTGTTTCTAATAATTTGCTGACTGAAAATCCTCTGGTTCTTTTCAGAACAAAGCTGGTCATGCTGTAGTCTAAATGTGTTTAATACTGAAACTAGGATGCTGCTGTGCATTTTCATAGAAACAGACTTCTGGCGAGAGCACTTGCCTAAGCCTAAAGCAGTTAATGTGTATATTTTGCTTCCACTGTTGTTCTCTAAAAAACTGGCTAAGCAGCTGGGTGAAGCAGAGATGCTCACATAACTCAAAATCCATTGGCTAAAAGTACTTGCAGATTTTGGCTGGGAGTGAGTGAGCAGCTCTGTGATGCTTAGTTACTCTCTGGGGTTAAACCATGATGAAAGAAAATATAAACCTGTAGACTTGTGCTGTTGTTGCTTACTAGGAAGGGAGGCTCATATTATGGGATATCATCTGGAATGGGGTTATTTATTTTCCCTTGAAAAGTTTGACACAAGTTTGAAGGAAAAGGGGTTTACACTTGAAACAGTAAAATATTACTGGATGCTTGCACAGCTTTTTTTTTTTATTTTTTGCATGAATAAATGAGATTGAAATGCATTAAAACCCCAGAGTGTATTCTACATAGACTTCTGTTATAGAATCTTTATTTCAAAATACGTAAAATGTCACACAAGATAATTGCATAAACAGTGCTGGGTGGAATTCAGCTCAATAGTAACATACATAAATGTTTGGTTTATATGCAAGAGCTGGATTTCTTAAACTCTTCTTGTAATCTTTGGAGATCCAGTCAGTGTAATGGAGCCTAGGGAAGTATCCAGTTTGCCCTAAGACCTAATGGTCACCTGAATTGCTCTTAGAGGTTGCTTGGCTAGTCCTCTATAAATGGTAGCACCTGGAGCTTAGGACATCTATCTCTAATCTGCAGTTAGGTGGCAGCATTTGGGTACCTGAATCTTGAAGTGACATTCTCTCTTCATATTGTTTCATAATACACTGGTGAAGTTTGCTGTTTAGAGATGGGAAAAATAAGTGTGTGGTGAGGTAGATACTGCCAAAATGAAGGTGAATTGAGGCCTAAATATCATCTTACGTGACCTTAGCAGCTTAGGCTAGGAGGTTTCCAGTACATTTTGTAGGTAGGATGAATTCTGCCACATATGTGTGTGTGTGCATATACATATATATGTATGTATATGTGTAATCTGTCTTCATAGCAGAGAGAATCAAGTACCTCTGCTAGACCGATTATTTCATCCTCCTTAGGATGAAATGTATATACTAACATTAAATGCTTTTGGTTTAATGTTTGTATACATCTTACTGATTTTTCTTTTTAGTAGAAGACAAGTATAAGTGTGAAATATAAGACATTGGAATATCTGAGTAGGAGTTAATGAATCATGGTTTTGTCCATGTTAGCTATGCCTCAGATGATCTCTCTACCTCAACAGAAATTAAAATGCATCCACTTTGTGGTGATAATTTTAGTTTTGTTAAATGTGACATAGGGATGAGAAGAGAATGTTCTAAGCTAATGTCTAATTTTGTTGATCTTGAGGTAACACTATTTAGTGCTATCTTTCAGTAAAGACAGTTTGAGCAATCGCATCTTTTTCTAGTGTCTGTACAGGAGTTTAGTGTTAATTCACTTGTGCTAATTAGAATGTTGTTCTGATTATTAGGAAGATTATTCTAAGTATGGGTGATTTCAGTCATCTGTTTTATGATAATAGGCACACAGACAGCTGTACCTCTGTAAAAGGGGAGTTTAACAACTCCTTGCCTCTTTTTTGGGAGGAAAGTCAGTGCTAGGTACAGAAATGCCCTAAACAGCTATAACAGAAATATGTCTGTGTGTCAGGATCCAGAGGCTGGTGCTCGTCTGAGCATAATCCATTTGGCTTTTTGGTTATAAATGCACTAATAATAAATTGCTTAGGAGTTAACACTTAATAATTGCTCATTTTCATACCAACTTTTTCAAAAGAATCAATTGTGTATTAAAATACGCATAGCCAATGGTATAGTAGACAAATAGCTGGTATTTTACTTTGCACTTAGATTTATGATTATTTGAACAATTTTAACAAAGTAGTTTGCAAGAAATTTAAACATACTGAAACTTGCATTTACCCATGATATGGTAAATAATCTGTTGAATTATATTTAACAATGTGTGGTAAACCCACTATAAATATTTCATATGTCACTAGTACACCTATGACTTGAGCATTTAGGTAGATTAAATAAGTAGATTTGTCCTCAAATATGTAGAACATTTGGGTGGAAGTATGAAGCTTTGAACATAGAAGAGATATGAATAAAAAACACAATGCCTTTCTACCATTGCAAAATGCTATGCTACAAAACCCCCGGTTTTAAGGGTTAAGTAGTAGCATACAGACCGATGAGATGGCTGAAGACAAAAAAAGTAATTTTATTTTTAGTTCAAAAGTTCTTTTCAAGTTCTCAGATGGTTTATCGCAGAATATACTAGTTGTCATCTGAATATGTAGCATAATTAGCTAATAGTTTTATTTATTTTGCACCAGTGTTGGCTAGGACTCAGTGCTGCTTTAGGTAGATGCTGCTAGAGACAAGAAATAATAAAAGGTTGCATCATTTGGAATTGCTACATTTGTCTTGTCGCAGTCTGAGAGACTGACAGACAGCTGTGCACACACAAGCTGGCAGATCTAAAGAACAGGAAGTATCAGCTGTGGGCAAAGTACAGCATCAAAGCCCGGCATCTCAGCAACCTGCAGTACCCCCAAAGGGCCCTTGCTGGGGGCCTGTGTGACAAGTCCGTGTGGAGCTGTTAGAGGTGCAAATGCATTCTCTGAGAGGCAGGCTGCAAAAGGGGGACACATAACCAAAGGAAGTATTTATGTACGCTGCATTTCTGAAAGTATGCTTCTTCATGAAGGATACAAGGCAAAGTAGATATTTTTTAAAATTTATTCTTTTTTAGTCATGGCAGCTTTTTTATAGGAATAAAATATTCTTTTATAACTGTTGTATTGGGTGAGTATTTTCTGGAGGATTTTCAAAGTTAAATTGTGTTCTCCTTTGCCATTGGTGAATCTGACCCATTTTCTATTTAGAAACAAAATTCTTTGCTGAGTGAAGTACAAGGAAATCTTTCTGCCAAAGGGTTATTTTTGCCAAAGCTCTATGCTGTTGTCTAGTGGATCTGTAGGTTTTCATACAGCCTCTGATTTTTCAGTTGAATAGCTACTGACTCTTTCAGGTGATTAAGGTTTTATCAGAGCTTGCATTTATCAGTCATAAAACATGAGCAGACTAGTATGTTTTGCAGAGTGCCTGCTCAATCCTGCCATTTGTAAACACACCCTTCAAAACTATATGTTTAGGGTTTGTGTTTTCCCATTATTTACAGCTGGATTTTATCCCTTAGTGCACACTGAAGGATGTTTTCTTCAAACATTGATAGTGATTGGAAGATAACCTACTGCTGGGTATGAATAGAGATTACAGAGTTTGGAATTAAAAGACTATTGTTTGAGATGTGAAGCGTGCACTTTGTATTATGTTGCTGATATATTTAAAACAAAAAACATACTTACAGAAGCCAGCATTCATCATTTCAGTGAGCTGCAAATATTGAGCATGTTCAATATTCTTTAAGTCAGTTTCACGGTATTACTCCTGTATATCTAATTATTGTGTTTCGGAAATTTTAATTTTTTTAAGTTTGCTGGCATTTTTTTCATTGCCTAATGTTGTGTTTTGAACTCCTAATGTTTTTATTTTGGTTTTTTGTTTTGTTTTTTTTTTAAGGTGTGACTGTACAGAAAAATTACAGAGTAAATTTGACTTCTTACGGTCACAGTTGAATGACATTTCATCCTTTAAGAATATCTACAGATACGCCTTTGATTTTGCAAGGGTAAGACTGCTGAAATGTTAGGGAAGTTCTTACTTTTATTTATTCAACAAGCTTGTACTTGATTGGTTTCTGTGCTTTCTTTATTCAACCTTAGGAAAAAGACCAGCGAAGTCTTGATATTGATACTGCAAAGTCCATGTTAGCTCTTCTACTTGGAAGAACTTGGCCACTGTTTTCAGTATTTTATCAATACCTGGAGGTACAAGTTTCCTTGACTTTGTGAATGTTGGCATAGTAGTTGGACTGTTCTGTGAGAATACTGTGTTTATTTTACTCAAGAATGTATCCATATTGCTCCCTTTCCCTTGCTCAATGTGGTTATGAAACAGTGATGTTCTTGTATGCATCACAGATCCATGTCTTCCTCCCTGTGCCCCAGCCCCTTTTCTTATCAAAGGCAGCTAAAATTCTATCTTGATTTTACTGTAAATATAAATTTGAAAGCAAGTAGTAGAGCCTCACTAGTCTCTTCAGCTGCATCTACACTGCATTTCAAGTTTACTTTGTGCAGATATAGTGTGAAGGTACCTTGATCTCTTACTCTCTTTGGAAGATTTCAGTCAGCTCAGCTGCAAGTGACAGAGTAAAGTGAACAGATGTATAGGTTGTGGAACACATAGGGCTTGTTATTATTCCCTGGCTTCAAAAGAGTGCTAACACTGCAAAGTAGATGTCCATATGATCATAATGTATTGTACCCTGGAGAAAAGACCTTTTTTTCTTTTTTTTTTTAATAGTTCATTCTGGAAATATATCTGAGTTAGATATGCCCCACTTTAGGGCAAGGCAAAAATATACCAAGTTTTGAAGCATAGAGTGGTGACTTACTGATTTCCAGGTTCTGAGGAAATGGATTCTGCTCTGATCTTCCACGAAATAATTTTATGTCCTTTCATAACTATGAAGTATGTTAATATGTAGTATTTTTAGAAATGGAAAATCAAGTAAGTAATAGCCATTGTTACCCCTTAAATAGTTTGTTAGGATCTCATTGAAGATAAAATAAATGAGATGCAGGAGTACCAAATGCCACTTGACATTTTAATATTTTGAAATTACTTTTCCTAGCAATCGAAGTATAGAGTTATGAACAAGGATCAGTGGTACAATGTACTAGAGTTCAGCAGGACTGTTCATGCAGATCTTAGCAACTATGATGAAGATGGTGCATGTAAGTATTCTTAATGTTTTGCTTATTCAAATCTTAGCAGAGAATGTTAAAACTGCGTAAAACAAATTTCTGTAACAGAAACAATGCTGTAAGGGTTTTTTTTCCCCAACAATGAATAGAAAAACAGCCCTGATAACCATCCATCTTCAAGCTGCAGATATTAATTTTTTACCTAATTGTTTGTCGGGTATAGTGTGTCAATAGTATGATGGTTTAATTGAGCCAGCTTGTATTCAGTGAGAATCTAATGAAGGTGCTTACTGCATGCAATTGTAGACTTGCAAGTAGAATTATAAAGAGCAAACTCTCATTTTGTACTGGTATATAATAAACTGTAGCTTAACAATTCTTGCCTACCTGCTGGTACTTCGGGTTGAGCTCTTCACCTAGCTGGTAGTCAGCCATGCCATGACTGAATTGCCTAACTCCTGTTTTGGTCCATATTCTAATTATTCACCATTTTGAAAACTTTGGTAAGAAGGAATTAATTGTGCTGACTTACAAGATTATTTTTATGCTTTTCATTCAGTTCATCCACCTGTCAGATATTAGGAGCAATTTTTTCCATAAATTTTTTTTTGTGCCCTTTTTATCATCCTTAGATTGGAATGATTGCACTAATTTATGGGTATTTTACCATAGGATTGACATGGATGTTTCCTAGACCAGTAGTTTTAACCCTCATACTTAAAAGGGTGTTTGAAAGATATTGCCAATTATAACTCCAAGTTTTGTCCATTCGCAGGGCCTGTACTTCTGGATGAATTTGTTGAATGGCAGAAAGTTCGTCAAGCGTCATAGCAAAAATTCAAAAGAAAATGCAAAAGTTTTTTTTTGTGCCCGCCTGTACACAAAGTAATGAGAAAAAAAAAGGATTGCATTTTCATTCATAAGAAAGACTTTACCGTAATTTTTTTTCCTTTTTTAAGGAGACTTTCTTGTTACATGTGATATGGGCATTGAACCACACCTCTTCTGAGACTGAAAGTTGGAGTTCTTGTTTTGAGTCTTATGTTTATAGCATTTATTTCAGAACAATAAAGATTCAGATTTGTGACAAAGGCTTAAATGTGAAGGATGTCCCTTGAATGTGAGTGTGGTGTCTATTTTTAAAACCAAATCGATAAGATATCTTTCTCAGAAGTGCCCTTTGCTATGAATTTTTGAAGACCTTAAAAATGCTTAATTAGTGCTGTTGCTTGCTGTTGGTGTGATTGTCTGTGTGGCAAATATTAGAAAGAATGACTGATTTTGGAAGCCCTGGGTGGGATTGTGCTAATTTACGTAGTAAGTATTGGTCGTCGGTTGTGCCACAGTTTTCAGCTCCTCGTGGAGATAAAGGCCTTAAACTCCTGCTGTTGGTTTTTATTTCTTTGTTTACCCCCCACCCAGTGGCATGGCATTTAATGGCAGGCCCTTTCAAAGCAGAAGGGTGTGGAGCAAATGGCTCTGTGTGCAGAATGGCTGAAAACTAGTTGTCTCTACTTCAGATGCTGAACACAGATACTCTTTGGTACAGCAAGGCAGCTTCAGATTTTTACTGCTATTTAGGCTTTTTGGATTGCTTTGTACAAGTGCAATTTATATTCTAAAAGGGAAGACTGGGAAGTCTTGGTTTCAAGCTTTGCTTCTTACGTGTTTTAGACTGGAGGCACTCATAACATGACTTTTTTTTTCTCTGGATGGTTTTCATAACATAAATCAAGAAGCAACTATTTAATCACCTACTTTTGACCAAGTAGCAGGCTGTATGTAACAGGATATTAAATGTCATCCTGTTACTCTGTGTTCTGAGTCCAAAAACTGTGATTGCCCTTTTAGGCATTCAGTATTCATGACAGCCTTTAAATACAGTAGAAGTTTCTCACTCTACCTCCATGCCCAGGAGACCCAATGCCACCCTTGAGAAGGAAAGGGATTTTAATCAGTAAATGTGAAAAACCAAACCACAATGAGAGAATGAAGCATTTGCGACTTCTGCTTTATTATATAAATGCATGATACAGACTGTTATAATACTGGGAGACTCAATCAGTGATCAAGGCCTCAGTGTGCCAAATATTTTAACAAGTGTAATAAGAATAGACAATGTAAATTAGGCATGACTTGAAGATCTTTGCCTCAGGGAAATTACTTCTGTTTTGCACATCCCTTAATCAGACTAACAAGCATAAGTTTTCCTGTCCTTAAGGAAAGCTGTCTTTTCAAGATGGTTTTTTTTTTTTTTTAAAGAAGGATAGAGAAAAAAGGAAAGGTATGAAGAGAAATAAAGTTATAAACTAGTGCTGTGTGCCTGTGCTCTTGTTCTGCTACCAAGGACCACAGCTGTAACTTCTCTAGAGATATGCTTGCTGTGGGGGCTGCAGGACACAGTGCTGTGGTGGGCTGTTCTGCGAGTCGCCTTGAACTGTAGAAGCTTGATTTCACCCAAGTGAGAAAAGCACCAGAGGAAAAAAACCAAACAACCGTTGAGATACTTGGAAGATTTCTGCTTGTGCAATGGCTAGTGTCTGTGTGCATGTAAACAGATGCACTACAGCTGCTCTAAATATTTTTTCACCTATTTTACGGAAAGTACTGAATTTTAAACCTTATGTAAGCTGGAGTATTTCCCTTCAATATGTTACAAGTTATCCATTTGTGTTGCTGATAATTCTGATTTCACTCATAGCAGAGTGCCTTTCATTTAGGAATTGCCCTTCCCCGCAGAAAGCTTGTGCCAGATTGAGATTAATTTCAACAGTCCTAAGACCTGCTGGTACAGTAAGGTCCTAAGATGCACAGATGCACCATGTAAGTGATGTCAAGGGACATACTGCTGTATACTAAATCTCTTCAGGGATGCTGATTCTGAAATGACTTTTGAGTTCACTGCAATGACTCTCCTTGCATACTGTGTTTAGTCCCCACTAGGGTGTTCTCTTTCCAAAAGTTTTGAAATACTGGTCAGAATAATCTTTTCTAGCTCGATTTTTAAAAAATCATTGCTTTTAGGTAAATGCAAACTGTTGTGAAATCAGTTTAACCCATTTGGTCCTAGAGGATGGTATTAGAGTGTAAAGTAGGAGTCATGCACCTACCAATCTGAGTCAAGTACTTGCCATTAAGGTGTAAGACACTATGTGATGTATCATTTGTATCTGTTAAGGTTTTATCAGTATTTCTATAATAAATACATGTTTCAGGGATTTACGATGTGGTTGTGTGAGTGATTGAAAATCATCAGTTACTGTAAAACTTTGGGGATTCATGTATTTTAACTAGTGGAAATAGTTTTTCAAATTTGAATAAAATAGAATTTTAAGTTACAGGTTTTTTGCTCAAAACTGCAGTCAGGTGTATTGTTTCAATGTGAATTAATGGCGTGTACAGTTTCATTGTGAACCAATCCTGTTTATTAGCTGTGTTTTTTACATTACCCTACAATTTATGGCAGATAAGTGCCAATAGTTGTTAACATGATTTTGTTTTGTTTTTAATTTTGTGCATGTCCACAAGCCAAAACTTGATTTCTACTTTCTTTAGTCTTTTTACTTTAATTTTTGTTTTGCTCATGTGCATTTCAGTTTATTGAATTTTTTTAAATTATGACTTATCTTTCAGTGTTCTAAGATGAAAATTCACAGATTAAATATGCTGCCACAGTGTGACAAACTGAAGGTGAAATGTCTTCCAAAATTAAGTCAAAGTGGTGTTTATCTTAATGCTATAAATTTTACATGAATCTCAATTTCATTTCTTGACGTTAGTTCTTCCTAACATAATTAATCACTTTTAGTTTTCTTAGATAACTGACAGTTTTCAGTTTAATGTCTGAATACACCCACTGATTCATGGGAAAAGCCATACCTGTAGATCAAAATTTATTTGTCTTTTGTAAAAATGTGATCTTGAATTAAACAGTTATGTCTGTTTACTTACGTCTTTAACTGTATATGTAGTTTTGATCCAATTTCTCTTTACTGTTTTAATTTGCTTCTTGAGTTCTTTACTAATGGCTATAATTTCACTTTTCTATGTAACAGACTTTGAATTTGGCTTTTCAGATGACCATGGACATCAGTTTGGTGCCTGTTTTCGGTACGCTGGATGAGGGCCCTGTGGTCTCTGTGGTTTTTGTTCAGGGTTTTTTTTGTGCCTGTCAAAAGCTTTGTGCTGATACATTGATAGTGACTGTACAAAAATTGCAAAAGGGACGATAAGTTCAATGTTTCTGATAGTTTCATATTTTGAGCTAATAAACAGTTCCTTCAATGTAAAATGTAGGAACTTGTACAGGTTTAGCTTTAAGTATGATGAATAAAATGGCATGTAATAGGGCAGAAAACTTATTTTGTCATGCTGCCTCTTAGTTTTTCCTTATGTGTTTTTGTGTATGTGTAATTGTTCATAAAATCACTGAGATAACTTAATTCCAGCAAGACAGATCAGTCTCATTGTTAAGTCAACCTTATTTGAAGAGTTTTCTTTGTTTCTGTGTGTAGATGTAGGAAATAAAACTTTACTTTTTGCGAGTAATAGTAAACACTGTTCTTGATTATATCCTATGTTATTAGGTGCTGATAGAACATCATGATCTTGGAAAATAGCTGTCATTAATTATTCAATGAATGAACACAGTTCCAACAACCTGTTGCAGTGCATGTGGATGAAGAGGGAATGAGCTTTTCTACCTTCCCCAGCTTCATCCCTTCACTCTCCCCTAGTGTATCTCTTGGGTCATGTGCCTATTTTTTTGAAAGGACTTGGTATTTCCTAATGTACTCTTCCATAGGGTCTTTCAGAGCCCATTACAGAAAGGATTAAAGACAGTATCTTGTCATATGTTTGAGTTAATAGTACTGCTTTCCTAGCAGATGCAGCTGGCTCCACTCTTGACATTTCCTAGTTATTGAGGTCTTATGCCATACCTGCCTCGGGACATTCTTCCCTCAATCTCTCTCAGTTCCAGGGCAATGCCTGTTTGTTGCCTCCATGATTCTGCTTTTTATTGGTTTTGGCAATGAAGTTCCTGATGCGTTCCTGAGCCAGTAGAAGTTTAGTGGTATATACACAGCAGGCATCTCGTATCTACAAGTGATAGCAAGAGTTTTATTACTTATTTACCCATCTGTGTTATCATTCTTCCTGTATTTTTTCCTGTCTCTGTGAGAAAGGGCACTAAATTAATAGGTAGGTGCATTACAGTCTGAACATGCTACAAGGTTATGTAGCCTGTGTTACTTTAATTTTTATTTTAATTTCAAGCCACTGCCAGGTATGTCACCAAAATGAAATTGGTGTATCATGTCATCTGGATTCTTAACTAATCTTCCTGTTTTTATCTTATCAAATCAGAGACACTCTATTTGGATCTCCTTAGCTTTTCCTCCTGAAAACTGACCATAGTAACAATGACAGAAGATAAAAGTTACTGAATTTCTTTTATAGACCTTACACTGGACAGATGTTTGTCTTGATGAGCCAAATACTATTTCTTTAATCCAAGATGGTTCCAGTGTGTTTCTGTTGAATGACTTAATACTTTATAAGTTAGGAAGATGCAGTGGTTGTGTCCTTTTTCTCTAGAAACTATATTGATAAAGTTGCTTTCAACACATTAAGTTCTTTAGCTTCTTCAATTAAATTTCTTGCCTGATTTTGACAATTTTTAAAATAATCACTATATTTCAGGGATTTATCCATGTGTGTATTTTTGTCAGTTCAGTCATAAATTACTGCTGATTATAAAATAAAGGTATTTTGGTTGATTTCAGGTCTAGCTGATGTGCAACTTAATCTTTTCCTTAGTGTTTACAGAATTGCTTTGTTTACTTTCACTCTTCATTTTATGGTAGTAAATTAAAGTGCTAGAACACAGACTGCTAGCTAATTCTTTTTCTGGTAATAGCACTGAGGTTAGTCTTTTTTATTCTTTTAAATATTAGGATATTTCAGAAAGGTTTATTGTGCCTATTATAATAATTATGAATTGAAATGGTAGATGTGGTATCTAGCTTCCTAACTATCAAAGGCTTAATGTGAAATTATTTTAGCATTCCAAAGCAGTTAACTATAAATCAGT